ATAACTGTGTTTGACTGTATAACAACAATTGTACCATTTCCAACATAAATATATGATTGAGTGAGAGATAACTGGAAGAGAAAAATTACACCTCTTCATTATTCAATATTCAGTTCGTATTCGAAGCTATGTATTCGTATTACAATTCGTATTCGAAAATTCATATATTCACACACGCCTACTAAATATCATCTTAAATATGGATGCAACGGCATCCTTTATGTAGCCAACGCTCACTGTTGCTTGGTACATTATAATAGTCCTATAGATGGGGTTTACACTTCCAATAGACAATTTTCGCAGAAATTGCCGTTTATGCGCAGGCTGTCGCAGCAGGAGAGTTTGGTGCAAACTGGCGCACTTGGCTTAGCACTCCCACCCCTAACGAGGCCAGTTTTCACGTCCGTTGCGTTGCCACAGTAACTGAGAGAGGCGACCACCAAATCGCTGCACTCCGTAGCGCCCGGTGAACTCCCGAATAAAGGGCAAGGCGGGCTGTGTCAGCGTGTGCGAGTGCAGCGCAATGTAGTGAGAGTGCGGGCGTGTGTGACTGATGTCATTACAATCGCAATTACTGCCCATATAAAAGGCAGCCAACATATGTTAATGTCCACTCTTTCTTTGTACCTGTTACTTGTTAATGTGCAAGTTAATGTGCACACTTGTTAATGTGCACTTGTTAATGTGCAAGTCTAAGTGTCGCGACATCTCTACTGAGGTCACAACATGCACAACTAAACAGATTAACAAGTCTGCAAAAAGTGCAAAGCCACAGTTTGACAAGTACCTTTGATGCCAATTTAAATGTATTAAACGGACCCTTCGACACCTTTCGAGCATGGTCAGAAAACGCTGCCAATTGGTAGTCGAGGCTCCTGAGAACACGCGAGCAATGCAGCATGCGGCCTCAAACTTATACTAAATTTTCAAACTAAGCTAAATATAGCTTACTCTTCTCTCAACAAATAACGATACCGTGACCTCAAACTTATAATAAGTTCTCAAAGTAAGCTAAAAAAAGCTTTCTCTTCTCTCAAAAAATTACAATACAACATCGAAAATCACTCTTCACAGCCATTGTATCAGCCATTGGCTGATTTGAGTGTGGCGTGTTCCGTCAGTTACACGGGCCGCTAAGGAATGCCCCGACTTGTCCACACATATGCACGATATTGCAATGTAAAGCCGCATACAGTGAAACCCCATTCATACGCTTTTCAGCGGACTGGTTAGGAAAAACGTAACAGCCAAGAAAACACAAGAGTGAGGAAAGCTCCGAAAATTATTGCAAGCACAGGCGCTTTGAATACAAATAATTTTTTTAAGCAAGGTCAGCTTAAAACTTCAAATATTCGAAGATAGTTCATGGCGCTTCTTTCCCTAACTGGTACTAAGCACCATGCATTTCTCAATCATCGGGAAGGCGGCATTGCTTCCAGCGTAGTGGTGTGCGACGTACTCGCAAAGGTAGTCCAGGGCCCCTACAGCTTCTCCAAAGTTGAGATCGGCCGACTGCCCTGCCAACTCTTCAGAATGGCGTGGCTCATGCTCGTCGTCATCATCGATGTCCCCGTCGTCAGTTAAAGTTTGCAACAATCTCTGCGATTGTTCGGCACTACGACATCCGGACGGGAGCATCCACAGCGATGCTGTCGTGGCATGTCGTATCCATGGCACCCAGCGCATTCATTGCCTCATTGAGCTCTTGCTCACAAGAGGTTTTCGATTGTTGAGCTTCGATGGCAGGCTTCCCTTTGCTGTCCATACCGAACGCACACCTCGAGAAGCAGGGCTCTACAGCTGACGCGCTCACTGCCCTCCTCGCTGATGCAACGTAATGCGTGGCATCGAGTACCGAAATTGTCATAAGCTAACGTCCACGATCAATACACGGGAGACAGCGCTTGACGACAGTTTTTCTGTGCAAATGCTTCACAGATTTTGTGACCCCGGCATCCAACGGCTGCAAGTGGCTTGTCGTATTAGGTGAATAAAAAAAACAAGTTTGACGTTTTGTAAAAACTACACATCTCTCGGGTGGGCAGCGCAATTGTGCGGGATAGGAAAACCCTCCTGCACAGTAAACCCATATAATTATTGAAGTATCGAAAAAACTCTTCAAACAAAGCGCACGTCATCCACGCGCGACTGTTACTTCTGAAGTGGCATCGCAGTAGGCGAATGTTTTTCAAGCACCATGGGTTTTTGAAATTGCTGATCACCACAGCTTTTGTTTGTCTGAGCTGTCCATATTGCAGCAGAGGAGCACCGTCAGCCGGTCTTTGCTGTGTTTGCCTCTGTGGCAGGTTTCGCCCTTCAGGCTTAACAATTTTGATGGCTGCACAGAAAAGAAGAGGCCTGTTTTGTCAGCGTTGTAAGTTTCCCAAGGCTCTTACCCCTAAATTAAAACAGATAGTATGGACTTTCAATCATTTATGGACTTTAACCACGTTCCAGTTATATGGATCGGTTATATGAACTTTCAACCACGTTCACACTTGCCGCTTCTCCGCTTACCATTTCGTAAGCGATGCCATGCCTCTTGCGGAAACGGTCGATCCAGCCATTTGACGCTGCAAAATCATTGATGCCCAGCCTGTCAACTATTTCCATCGCCTTCTTGCATAAAATTCTGCCGTCGAAATTGATACTGCCAGCATGAGCTTGTTTGAACCAGGTAAGAAGAGCCTCATCGAGGTTCCCAAGCTTGGCGTCACAAGCGTGCTTAGTTTTCGGGCTGAAGAAAGCGGCATCCCCTTCGATCTCGGCACACTTTGAAACGGTGCTGTTGAGCGATGATGGTGACAGTCCAAGGTCTTTGGCAATGTCCACCCTTTTCGTGCTGGCTACTTGTCGATTGCTTTAGGTACATGCAGCTTTGCCTCGAGGGAAAGCGCTTCCGCTTACGGGATGCCATTAAGGCTTGAGAAAGATTGCGTTGACAAGTTCAACGGTAACAGTCTTAGCGCACACAACAGCGACTGAAGACGAGTCACAACATGGGGCATGAGGCGGTGGGGTTGTCACACACTTCCGGCATACCATAGTGAAACTTCCATTCTAAGCACAGTGATGATGGTGATAGCACTTTTCACAAATGGCCCTTTAGGGACGGCCTCTCATAGAGTTTCTCACAAACTTACCTATAGGGAAATCTTGCGCTAGTGAGCTGCTGGATGCAAGGGAATGACAGGATATGTGAGCTTTGAACTTGACTCTGATTTGTATACCTTGACGACGCGTCTGGCTTCGAATTGAAATGGTTGATTTTTTACTAAAAGAGCACGTAATAAGCTATTTTGTTTTGCCATTGCACAGAAACGTGTTTCATTTAACACTGAAACCTTCTGCATCGATGTACAATTTTATGAAGCGTGAGTAGTAACCAACGTTCGCTAAACTTGGCAGGCAGACGACAAAGCGAACTCCCTCCGCCACTTTTATGTCGTCTGTTTCTTTCTTTTGCCGTTTTGTTGTGCCGTCAATGTAAGTGGACTTTAATTTTAGAATATAATACGCGCGAATAAGATCCGCTTATAAATGCTTTTTTTTTTTTTTACAGAAGCTTTATTTACACAGTCGTATTCGCTTTTGAACCAAAGCCTCGCATATACATATATCGTCATTCCTAGTGCTCCAACGGGGGCCCCTTAAAAAATTCGCCACACTTCACTCTAAGTATTTTTGTGAGAAACTCTATGGCCTCTCCAACTCGCCTGTGGCTTCTTGCAGCCTGTTCCGTAGCCAAGCCAGGCCAAGACTGTCAAACGTCAAATAAAAATGACGGAGCCCGGACAGGTTTGGCAGACAAGGTTGCGACGCATCATGCAAGAACGTTCTCACAGTTGCGACGTAACAGCGGGGTTCGCAATACATGAGATTCTAAGAGAGCTACGCCAGAACTGGTGAAAGACAACTTAACAGCCAAGAAAACGCAGCAGTGAGGAGCGTAACAGCGGGCTTCGACTGAATTCAAAGAAAAAAAAAAGAGAGAGAGATAAAAGTCGCCAGCATCTTCCCACGGGGGGAACTCAAGTAAACGCGTCGCAGAGTGATGGGGTATCCCATGAATGTAGGGTAATTCGGTATAGTTTGGGAATGCTTAATTGTTATTTTGCCTTTATTACTTTTATTTGTTGAATAAAGGAGACGTGTTGCCTTCAACTTGTGGTGAGACCCTGACATTGGGTTGTGTCCCGCGACTGGTTGAAGGTACTGTTGCTTCCATCACATCTACTCGAGTCAAGCAAATCGTCAAGTCAAGCGAAAGCCAAGTAAAGATGCCCTTGACTGAATTCTGAACGCACAATCCTTTGCTTAAATTCTGAACGCACGATCCACTGCTTACATATGGGGTGGCCAGTGAACGGTTGTGCAGAGCGAGCAGTCAGTTTTTTACTAGCAGACACTGTGTCGGCCTTGCGAGGCAAGCAACGGGGAGGGGAGAGACAGTTGGCACGACATGCGAGCATGCGCAGTGGGAGTGTGGATGGTGCTGCAGGCGCCAGATCTGTGACATTGTGCGACTAAGAAATCTTCCCTATTTAAAAAAGTGCTTAAGGTCACGAGGTGCACATGGCGTATTTTTTTCTCATGAGCCATTCTGGCCTGCTTAGCATCCAGTGCTTTCATGGGACGCGAGAAGGAAGAGTGCAATTGCAGCGTGCGACATATCCTTGTAACTATGCTCGTACTGGATGGATTCCAAAAGTTTTTTCAGGGATGAATTTGTGAGGCAATATTCTCCTTTAGTGAATCTATTCCATAACTACTTTAAAGAAATGTTGCAAGGTCCCTTTAACACAAAGAGCTCTAGAAAAACATGGTAAATCTTGACATGCACTGTTCCAAGTGACTGAATAAGTTTGCTCGATGCCTTTGAGATTGGCACAAAATTGATTGCAGAAATGACGAGAATGCCTCGTCTGAAATCTACACTTTTATTGATTCAGGCTGATAAAGATCATGCATTAAATGGACTGCCATTCTAGCTTTCTCACCTGTGCTTTCCTTGGTGTCTGCTCTCGAAGGTGCAGTGTGCTGTCTGGGTCAAGTCGTGACTGAGAGATGGCCACAACATTTGCAAATGCACTCTCGCTAGACAAGCCTACAAATGTCTGAAGAAAGCGCTGGAAGGAAACGATGGGCTGCAGATAGTTTTCCACGTCTTGCCCTGCAATGCTGCTAGCAAACATGTCGGCCAGGCTGCAATCTTTCACGGGCGACACAAGGTTGAGTGTCCACAGAGGCCGCACGAGACGCGAGAAGTAAACATAGCAGCCGTGGTGACGACCAGAGAACTCCACCTCGGCAGTGGATTGTGGCGGAACAATTGTCGTCGACAGCGCCGAGGGCCTCCAGCCGAGTGGCCGAACGGGCGACTGAGCCCCCAGGGGCGAGCCGAAGCTGTTCAGTGGCCGTGCCTGGTTACCGGCCAGTGGTGTGCTCGCCCAGACCGGAGGAGACGCAAGGTGTGTGGGCGCATGTTCCACCAGCTTGGCTTCTCCACCGTAGCGGAAGAGTGCATGGGTGGCCCGCTTGGCCAGATGTGCGTCTGAAGGATTACAGGCAAGAATGAGGCAGATGGCGCTGGCCTGGACCTCGCCATGCAGTGCAAAGAAGGCACGCAGGGCTTCATCCGGTGTGGCCCGGTTCTGAAGGAAGCCACGCAGCATGTCCACAGGCCGGGGCTTTTCGTACAAACAGCAACTTGTGCGCGAGAGCAGCACAAATTTCTGTGGACCATCCATGTGCTGTGTAACCACGGTGGGAGGGTCGGAGAGCACGACTGCACCGCTGGGCATGCTGACGGTGCACTGTGGTCGCGGGGCACGCTGGGGAGCCACACTGGCCAGACAGCAAACCCCTGCGTCCACTGGGCCGAAAGTGGACGTCTCCGTGAAGAACTGCTGGAACGGGTAAGCATCAGAAGCCAGCGTCCAGAAGATGTCTTTGTCCTCTGTGTGGGAAGCGACGAGGACGGTCGTTCCCCGCTGACACATCGCTGTGCGCACCCCATGTACTCGCTGTGAGGGTGCGTGTGAGGTGAAGCCAGGTGGAAGACGCACGTGCAGCAGTGCTAATGTTGAAGGACGAGCTTCGGGTACCCCAGGCGAGATGGTCGTCAGGAATAGGCGCACACCTGTGAAATACAATGCATTTTATGCATTATATACACAGGCTGTCTCAAATAAACCTTGCAAAAAAATTATTTCTAATGATGACTGAAGACTATCAATATGTGTTAGAATGTTCACACAGCTCATAACCATACTTTCATTGCGCAGAGTTATTTGCTTAGCTCATTATTGTTAACATTTATTTATAATTAGTCAATGCGAAAGTTGTGCAAAATGATAAGAATTGATGAAAATAACAGCACTCCAACAAAGCGTTTGCAGGGTCACAATGCGCAATTATTTGAAATTTCGAATATTTTTCTAATGGTATTTGCTACTCTATTTGATTCGGGTCGGAATTTTATTGTTCAAACTTCCCGAAGACAAATACAGTCAACGGCCGATTGGGAGTGGCCCCTTCAGATTTTCATTCTGTTTCACACCATCACTCTCGCACTGCGGCAAAGCTGCCTTTCAAGTTCTGCTAAGGTCACAAGTGTATTGACTCAAGAAAACGCTGGTTGCAAGATGAAGATGATAGGCATGGTAGGGGTGGTGGCTCAGTTAAATGCTGTTTTGAATTTTAAATTCCAGCTACACTTTGGTTGCACCGTAAAATGTACGCAAATAAAACTCAGCATCTGCATCGGCTCATTCTTGAGAGGACAACTATGAAACACACCGCCAGGATTACACCAACCTAGCCAAAAGGAACACCTTCAGGTTGCTCTCAGATAACATGCTTAAGACTCCTCTACAACTTCTTTTTCGAAGTCTTAAAAAAATATTCTAGAAATATTCGTAAAATACTCCATTCGATTAGCACTCACACTACAATATTCGAATTTGCTTCACGCTTGTCAAGAATGACAAGGTGAAGGCAGAAAAAGAGGAAGAAAGTATTTTGAAAAGAAAAATAATTTCAATATACAGCTATATCCCCAGGATATTTTTAGAAGCTTGGCTTAGGCTCTCATCCATTGCCAACAGAATGTTGGCCATTCTGTCTTGCAGCTATTTTACAGAGGACTGTTTATGCCCGCTCCTTTCGCTTTCAGTCTTTTAAAATTTGAATCATGGGCAGTGCTAAGTAAGGAGCCTGACGCCATGGCAGCATTGAGACTAAAGTCACAGGATGACAAAAATTGCGACGCTTGGAAAGCACTTGTGCAAGATAAGTATGGGATGTACGCGTGTGCGTCAAGAACATGAAGTATTTTTATATAATACGTGTATACATACATACACAACATATGTATATATATATTATGTATTATATTACGATGACTCAATTGTAACGAGGTTTATTGGCAGTGAATTCGGGAGCGAACAAGCGCAGCGGACCCGAAGATGAAGCGCACGTTCAAAGATGGTGATGACTGTCAGCCATAACAGGTGATGACTGACTGCTGTCCAGATGAGGATGAAGCGAATAATAGATGCCTACACCAATTCTCCCCACGTGGAAGCGGCCAGCCTGGCAGCCGCGGGCAGGTAGCCAAGGTGACGAGGAACGTCGTGTGAAAAGCATCATGCAGAAAACATGCTCAATTTCGGTGCTGCGGTAACGGCGGTCACTTGGCAAGACAAGAGGCGTCATTCAATAGCTGACAGGTGAAGTCTGCTCTAAAACTACATACGGGCCGATTAATTGAGGCTAGAACTTCTCAAACAGACCAGGTGTGAATCGGTGTCAATAGCAGCACCTCGTCACCCAGTTGGAATGATACCACACGATGAGAGTTGTTGTAGCAGCATTCCTTGCTTGTTGCGTAGCTTCTATGTTCATACGAGGGCACTTGCGGCATTGAGCAAGGCGAGAAATATATTTTTCGCAAGAAGATGGTGATGAAGGGCCATTGTTGGTGAAGAAGGAAGCGTAGATGAAGAAGGTAGGTGAACGTCCATAAACTAGGTAAAACGGTGAGTAGCAGGTTGTGCGCTGAACAGCGGTGCTATAGGCGAAAGTGAGAAACGGTAGAAGTTTATCCCAGTTTTTGTGACCTGGTTGAATGTACACAGCGATCATGTCAGCAGGGGTTCGATGAAATCGTTCAGTCGTTTGTTTGAGGATGGTAACTAGACGCCGTCTTGTGTGCAGTGCAAGAAACACATAGAACTTCACCTAGAAGCTGTGATAAGAACACCGTGCCACGGTCACTTAAAGGTACGCGAGGAGCACCATGACGTAGAACTATGGCCTGAAGGACGAAGTGAGCAACTTCGATGCTGAACCAGTAACTACTAAAGTTGTCTGGGTGTAGCGTGTCAGATGATCTACGGCAGTGACTATCCATGTATTTTCAGCGCCAGTAACAGGAAAGGGCCCACAAAGATTGACACCGACGACCTGGAAAGGTATTGTAGGGCACGTCACTAGCTGTAATGATGATGATGATATATGTTGTTTAATGGCGCAAGGGCCATTGATGGCCAAAGAGCGCCAGGAAATGATATCAGATGAGAGCGATGGTTATGGTAAGTGGCTGTAAAAGGGCCTAAAATTCTGCGCTCTAAAGATGCGTAAGACATATATTTATTAAAATCATGAAAGTGAAGTGACGCATGCCTGGTGAGAATGAGTCTTTAGTTATCATGACATCATAAAATAGGAGCGTTATATTAGCACCGATTTCTCGCCAGCGCCCTTGGTCCCAAGGGCCGGGAGACAGGTGCTCTTTTGGATGTAGCATCCGCAGCAGCAGCCTACTTTCCGAGGCCGTGCTAACGATCACTTGAGTAGATAACATGGAAAGTATTTACTTCCTTTAAGAATGCATTCAATGGATTTTATTTAAAAAGAGGTTCGCGACCAATAAACATAGCTGGGTGAAGGGGAATGTGTTCCTTGTACGATAGTGGAAAATGTTTTTTCCTGTAAGCCTCTAGCTCAGAGCATGCAAGGAGTATATGAAGTACGGTAAGTGGACGGCCACATCTGTGACAACTGGGTGGGTCACCACCGGACAAAAGGTGTGTGTGCGTGCTGTGTGTGTGTCCTATTCTATGCCGACAGAGACTGGCCTGTGTACGGCGTGTTTTCGACGTGGGTGGCCAGTTACCGAGGTATGGTTTAATCAAGTGTAACTTGTTATGAGTTTGTTGATCCCATAACTTCTGCCAGTAAGCCCTGAGCTTTTTCCGTATGTTTGGTTTTAGGTCCATTATAGGGACAGCAACTGAAGAGTTGGCGGAGCTTCCGTTAATTGACGTGGCGAGCTGGTCGGCCAACACATTTCCTTCGATCTCGCGATGTCCTGGCACTCAGCACACGACGATATGTTGCTTGGAAGTATAGGCCGCGCAGAGTATTGAATAGAGGGATATAATGATAGGGTTTCTGTGTTTTTTAAGATTTTTCAACGCTTTTACGACACTCAGGGAGTCTGTGTATATAACTACCCTTGGCGTATTCAATTCTTTGATGTGTTTAACGGCTACGAATAACGCGTAAGCCTCGGCTGTAAAAATGCTTGTGCTGGTGAACAGAACGCCGGCATCCGAGAAGGATGGGCCGACCGCCGCATAGGACACGCCGGTATGGGACTTGGATGCAGCAGTATAATATTCTGGACAGTCATATTTATGTTGCAACTCTAAGAAATACATCCGAATGTGTATGGGGGAGGCATGCTTTGTGACAGCTACGAAAGATGTGTCACAGTCTATAACCTGCCACTGCCATGGCGGGAGCCGCAAAGCGGGGGGGCTGAAGTGGTATTCAAGCAGTGGCACATTTGTTTCTTCAGCTAGGTGTCTAACACTCAGCGAGAAAGGGCGTGCCATTGTGGGTTGATTGTAAAAAAGTTGAGAGCTGGACAGGTCGTTGATGGTGAAATATGCAGGTTGCTCACTGTTCGCATTTACTTTAAGGAAATATATGAAGGAAGAATATGTTCTCTGCAGATGAAGTGACCACTCGTCCGATTCTACATAAAGGCTTTCAACTGGGCTTGTTCTAAAGGCGCCTGTGGACAGGCGGATGCCTTGATGATGAACAGGGTCCAACATTTTCAGAGCGCTTGGCGTGGCAGAGTGATAGACTATTGCCCCATACTCAAGACGTGAGCGTATAAGGCTTCTATACAGATTCATGAGGCACTTTCTGTCGCTGCCCCATGTTGTTCGTGACAGCACCTTTAGGATATTCATTGTTTTCAAGCATTTATTTTTAAGATGTTTTATGTGCGGTACAAAGGCTAACTTCGCATCTGAAATTATACCTAGGAACTTATGTTCTGTGTTTACGGGTAGACGCTCACCCTTAAGGACCAGTTCAGGATCAGGGTGCAAGCCTCTTTTTCGTGAAAAAAGGACACAGGTGCTTTTCTGTGGGTTCAGTTTGAACCCGTTTTCATCAGCCCATTTGGATACCTTGTTAAGGGCGAGCTGAACCTGTCGCTCACAGATCCCAAGAGAACACGATTGAAAACCTATCTGCACATCGTCGACATATGTTGAATAAAAGATATTACGTGGGATGTACAGACGGAGAGAATTCATTTTTATAATAAAGAGCGTACAGCTGAGCACCCCACCCTGTGGCACTCCGGTTTCCTGTACAAATGTTCGGAACAGAACATTGCTCACTCTAACGCGGAAGGTACGATCAGACAGATAGCTTTCAATGACACTGAACATATTACCGTGTATACCTATGTGTGAGAGGTCTCTCAATATTCCAAACCTCCACGTAGTATCGTAGGCCTTCTCCATGTCGAGGAACACAGATAAGAAAAACTGATTATGAACAAAAGCCTCACGTATGTGTGCCTCGATACGTATAAGATGGTCGGTGGTAGATCGGCCCTCTCTAAACCCGCACTGGTATGGGTCGAGCAATTTGTTTCTAAGTAGTGGAGTAAGCGGCAATTATTCATTTTTTCAAATAGTTTGCAGAGGCAGCTTGTTAACGCTATAGGTCTGTAACTTGATACAGTAGAGGGATCCTTTCCCTGCTTCAAAATTGGAATTATAACAGCCTCCTTCCAGGAGGAGGGGATCACACCTGAAAACCATATTG